CCGTATGCTTTTTTCCTTCGTCAAAAGGGGCGAAGTCGCACACCCTGCCGGAGGGGAGCCAGGAACCGAGAACTGTTCACGACAGAACGCCGCCTGCTGCTGGTCCTGGCGGGGGCCTGCGCGACTTCCACCACCCTCTTGCTTGCAGCGGTGCCGGCAGCTCTCCCGCGGCGCGGGGCCCTCCTCCCCCTCCTCCCCCTCCTCCTCGTCCTCGTCCTCCTCCTCCTCCCCCTCCTCCTCCGTTTCCTTCTCCTCCCCATCTTCCCCTCCTGGTCCTTCTCCTCCCCCTCTCCATCTTCCGGCCCTGCTCTGTGCTCAGACATGAGCAACGGTCCTTCTTGCGTCCTGAAAAAAAAGCACCGCGCGAGGCCTCAAATGATAGCATGCACGCCGTCTTAGGCCAACCAGGGCAAACAAATCAAGGCAGCCGCCAGTGCGGATGAGGAGTGCAAGAAGAAGCGGCCCCCCTCACCCTCTGCCCCTCCTTCCGGAACTGCTGCCAGGTCCCGCAGGACCCCGCCCCTTCTCGGGTGCGGCGCCGCCCGCACCAGCGCAAGAGAACCCACCGCGCGAAGAGCCGGCAGGGAGAGGGGCGGCTTCGGGGCGGCGCGGTCCATCTGGATGGATCGCACGAATGAGAGGTGCACGCCGAGAGATCTGTGCTGCCTGCGCTCTCCGGCGGCACTTCTTGGGGGGAGGAAAGAGGGGAGGAGGGGGGGGGGGAGGGGAGGGGGAGGGGGGAGGGGGAGGAGGAGGAGGAGGAGGAGGAGGAGGAGGAGGAGGAGGAGGAGGAGGAGGAGGAGGAGGAGGAGGAGGAGGAGGAGGAGGAGAGGAGGGGGAGGAGGGGGAGGAGGAGGAGGAGGAGGAGGAGGGGGAGGAGGAAGAGTAGGAGGAGGAGCCCTGCAGCGGCCCGAGGAGAAGACAAAGGCCGGCGCTGCGGACCCCAGGCGGCCGAAACCTGTCGAGAGCGGGGGGGCCGCGTGCAGAACTCATGGGGAGTCGCACGAGGTAGCTGACTGAGCATGAAAAGCGGAGCGGCGTGCCCGATTGGGTCACGTTGTGGATGCCATGACAATGGACACTAACAATCCTGTCATTGAAATCAAAATGAAAATGTGTTCCAAGTGTGTCAAGCATGTTCTAATGTGCTTCAAATCTGTATTCACATATTCAAAACATGTTTGAAACATGAATTTAGACATCTGGAAATTGTTTGGCAGCATGCTTCCTCTCCATTAGATCGACTTCCACGAGGGTCACGGGAGGAAGGAGGAAGCGCACCAACGAAGCCGCAGGAAAAGCGCCCTGCGCACGGCGCGCGGGTATCACTGACCAACATGTCGCCTTCCCCCCCTTCCCCTCTCTTCGCTCCCGACCCCTGCCTGGTCAAGACCCCATCCCATCGTCTCCCACCACGTCCCTTGCTCCTCACCCCCCTGCATCCCCCTCCCTGTTCTCACTGACACCCTTCCCCCTCCTCCGTTTCTCATCGGTCTCACCCCCTCTCCGCAAACCTCTCCCCGCCCGCCCCGAAAACTCCGCAAACCTTCGACCACTTCCGAACACCTCGATATCTCGTCAAGCACTTTCGGCTGAAGAACCTCCGAATACTCTAAACACTGCCGAGAACCTCCAAACACCTGCGGAAACACCTCCTCCTCCTCCTCCTCCTCCTCCTCCTCCTCCTCCTCCTCCTCCTCCTCCTCCTCCTCCCCCCTCGAACCGCGGAACGTCGCTTTCGTTGTCGTCGTGGTCGCGGCCGTGGCCGTCGTGGCCGTGGTCGCCTCGAGGTCGGGAGCGGGGAGGGTGCGCCACACGGGTTGCGCTGTCGTCGTGGTCGCGGCCGTGGCCGTCGTGGCCGTGGTCTCCTCGAAGTCGGGAGCGGGAAGGATGCGCCACACGGGTTGCGCTGTCGTCGTGGTCGCGGCCGTGGCCGTCGTGGCCGTGGTCTCCTCGAAGTCGGGAACGGGGAGGGTTGCGCCGCACGGGTTGCGCCACGGGTCGCGCCTCCGGTGGCGGCGCGGGCTGCGCCTCCTGAGGGCGGCGCCGCAGATGGCGCCCCCCCGCGGCCGAGCACACACACACAGCACCGTCTGCCAACAGGCGCGACTGGGCAGCCAGTCAGCCAGTTGGCCAGATTGCTTTCCGAATCTATATACATATATATATATGCATATATATATGCATATATATATATGTATATATACATATATTTGATTATGTATGTATGTATGTATGTATGTATGTATGTATGTATGTATGTATGTATGTATGAATGAATGTATGAATGTATGGATGTATGAATGTATGAATGTATGAATGTATGAATGTATGAATGTATGTATGTATGTATGTATGTATGTATGTATGTATGTATGTATGTATGTATGTATGTGTATATATATAAGGGGAAAACAAACCTACCTCGTTTTTGACCACCCTCGCTTCCAAGAGATACCAAACGATGCCAAACTACGGCCTGTACTGGTCAGGCCGCTTGACGAGGAGGCGCGTGGTATGACTTGGTTTTGCCTGGAAGCGAAAGCGGGGTAGGCAATTCACGCTCTGAATATATGAAGGGGCCCTGGGACACACAAATAAATACACACAAATAAAAAGATTCCCCATATTTTCCCATATTTTCTGGGTTTTTGTCTTCCCCCCCAATTCCCATATTTTCCCATATTTTCTGGGGATCGCCGATTAATTGTGTCTGTGTGTTTCTTTCCCTCCTGAATATAGTAATGTATGTGATGCTTGCAGGAACCATGAAATCACTTCGCCCAACGCCCGAAACAAACGACGGGCGCGCTCTGTGTGCCACTTCGGCGTCCCGGGGCCGTGTTCGGCTCCCCCCCCGGGCCCCGCAAGAGACCGCCTGCGACGAGGAAGCGCTTCGGCTCCATGGGCGTCGGGGCCGAACGCTGCAGGGCCCACGTGCAGAAATCACGCGGAGGAGGAGGAGGAGGAGGAGGAGGAGGAGGAGGAGGAGGAAGAGGAGGAGGAGGAGGAGGAGGAGGAGGAGGTAGAGGAGGAGGTAGAGGAGGAGGTAGAGGAGGAGGAGGAGGAGAAGGAGGAGGAGGGGCCCTGGGACACACAAATAAATGCACACACATAAAAATACGCCCTATAGTTTCCCATGTTTCCTGGGTTTTGTCGTCCCCCCCACTTCCCATATTTTCCCACATTTTCTGGGGCATTGCCGATTCATTGTGTCTGTGTGTTCCTTGTCCTCCTGAACTGAGTGCAGAAATCGCGCCGCCGGAGGCCTGGGGGAGTGACCGAGAACCCCCCCAAAAAGGCAGGACGGGGCCTCGCCTCCTCGGAGGGTGCACCCCCCTCCCGCGCCCCCCCCCTCCCCGCCCTGAGCACTCCAGGCACATGAGCGCGCCGTACCTGCAACGCCACGGGGCCCGGGCTCCTCCTCTTGCTGCTGCTGCTGGCTCTTGCTGCTGATGCGCTGCTGCCGCTGCTGCGGCCTAGTCGTGCCGCTGCTGCGGCGACTTCTGCACCGCTGCTGCTCCTGCGGCTGAGACTGCTGCGTCTGTCGGACGCAGGGCGTCGAGTCCGTGCCGCCGACTGCGCGACGGTAGTTCGTAAGCATTTTGAGGGAGGGGCGCCCGCGAACGGGGGGTCGAGTAGGAGTAGGCAGGGAAGAGCAGGGCGCCCTCATCCTCGCCTCCCTCGCCTCTGTTCTCTTTGCTGCTTGCGTCAGACGCTCCACCCCCACCGAGGGCCACGCTGGCTAGGAACCTGCCGCATCGCCGACGTGCCACAGTAGTTACGCCTCCTTCTGCTGTCCTCTCCTCTCTTCTCCTCCCTCCCTCCCCCTTCCCTCTGCTGTCCTCTCCTCACTCTCCTCCCTCTCCCCCTCCTTCCCTCCGCCCTCCGCGACCGCTCCCACACTTAGGAAACAGCCGACAGGGCGGCCATCAGCGAGTGGCCAGGTAGCGTGCGCCAGAATGCCGCCCCGCCCGACGCTCCGCTTCCGCCGCGTGGCCGCCCCTCAGCCCACAGCCGGCCCGCAGCATCAGGGCGCACGAATAAGGATGCAGGGGCCTTGGGAAGGCCGTGTCCGGAGCTTCTCGAGGGGGGCGAGGCCAACGAAAGTGGCCAGGGATGGACCGAGGAGGCGAGGATGCAGGGGCACCCCCTGGGGAAGGCTGCCCGTCCTGCCCCTGCGGGTCGACTCCACTCCCACGGGCCCCCGCCACCCTTCCCTCAGCGAGCGAAGAACGGTATAACATAAACTTTTCCGCTGTCGGGGGCGAATGTCCCTGGGCGGCTGGAAAATTTATACCCCTACGGTGCTACCGTAAGGGTATAAACTTTCCAGCCACCCAGGGACAGGCGCCCCCGACAGCGAAACAGTTTATCTTATTCAGGAGGAAAAGAAACACACAGACACAATTAATCCTCGATTCCCAAGAAAATATGGGAAAATATGGCAAGTGGGGGGGGAAGACAGAAACCTAGAAAATATGGGAAAATATGGGGATTTGTTTTATTTGTGTGTATTTATTTGTGTGTCCTGGGGCTCCTTCATTTATACCGTTCTTCGCCCGTTAATTCCACCTTCGCAGAAGGCGGTGAGACTAAGCCTCCTGGCGTCGTCGAAGGGAAGCGGCCCTCTTGAGGTGCCCCCGTGCGTGCCTCGGCGCCCTGCCTCGCACCTGCCTCCCCGCCCCCCGTCGGGGCGATCTGCTCGTGATGTCTCCCCTCCCCGAAGGCTCGGGTCGGGCGAAAGGGGGAAATAGCAAAAGGGGGGGGTTGAGAATCAGCTCACGTGGCTGATTTTCCCGGCGCCTCCCGGCGCCGGAGGCGGCTACGTCTCGAGGAATGGGCCCCTCGGTGAGGCCGAAACCAGCTGCATGCAGCAGATTTCGTACCCCCCCCCTTTCCCAATCCCTCCCTTTCGCCCGGCCCCAAGGGCGAGGGCGCGAGACACAAACAGAAACGGCAGGCAGACAGCCGGCCCGCAGCAGAAGGACGCGCGATACGAGGATGCAGGGGCCTCGGGAAGGCCGGCCCGGAGCTCCTCGAGCGGGGCGCGGGCAGCGAACGTGGCGAAGGACGGGCCGAGGAGGCAGGGATCCACGTAGCGATGAAGCGACGCCATATAAACATAAACTTTTGACGCTCCGCGCGGATTTCTTGGATCTGCGCTGGACCCCCCTCCCTGGCGCGCCGGGCGCGCCGGGGGCGCCGCCGGAGGCGCCGCCGGGGGGCCCTGGCGCGGATCCAGGACATCCGCACGGAGCGCCAGAAAATCATGTCTATGGCGTTCGTTCTTCTTCGAGCAAGGGCGCCCTCGGGCAGGTTGCCCATCCTTACCATGCTTAGGTCGGGCCTGTTCCCTTACAGGGGGATATGGGACGGCAAATACAAGATACTGAACGGAAGTTCCAAAGATGCCCAAACATATTCGAAAAATAGTCCCCAGACTACTTTTTAATGACTACTTTTTCACTATTTTTGAATATTCCCATGCGGACGGGCTGCAGGCGTGCCTCTCTGGAATCTCGGGGAGCCGGCAGGCCTCGAGGGTGTACGCGGGGCGGCGCGGCCGCTCCCCCCGGGCGCACCTTTGGGCGCCCCGAGAGCGCTCCAGGGACGCCCCGGGGCGACGACTCCTACAGGGCAGTTTTTTATACATAGGATTTCTAAAACATATCGGATTTTTAATACATGATTAATGCATGAACCCATCGTTGTTTTTAATGCTAATTCCCTGCATTTTTAATACATGATCCGCACGCGGAGCATGAAATTATCAAAAACGGCACTGTAGGTCGGGCGCGTCCTCCCACAAGCTCAGATTGGAAGAGGCATGAGAAGTAGTCAACCAGAGATGCGAGCATAGCCAAAAAAACCGGCACCTCGTCCACAGACCATCTTTTGACTCCTCTGGGACATCCCTCCTGTGGAGGGACAGGCCCGATTCACGATTCATCCTCTACTCCCTGGGCCAGCCAGGCCGCTGCCGGCCCTCCCGTGGTCACGAGACCGTGGCCCACTGCGGGTTGACGTGGTTGCAGTCGCAGCACACGTTGTTTCCGGGCAGGGCGCGTATCCTGGCCTGCGCCAGGGGGGAGGCGGGCGAGCCCCGGGGCATCCTCCTCTTCCTCCTCGTCCTCGTCCTCTTCCTCCTCCATTCCTTCTCCTTGTACATAAAACTCCTCCCTGTCGCGCCCCGAGGCAAGTTTTGAGGGGGGGCGGGGCGTTTCGCCTGCGACTTCCGCACCATTTGTGACTCGGAAGCTTAATGAGTGACAACCGCTTCGCAAATGGAGGGCGGGTCCCTTTCAAAATGTGGCTCTCGCCTGGCACACTCGTTTTAAACAATTGCAAGAGTTTCACGGATTGAGGGCGGATCGTTTTCAAAATGTGGCTCTCGCCTTGGCGCCGCGTACTTGTTTAAACATTTGCAAGAGTTTCACGGATTGAGGGCGGATCGTTTTCACAATGTGGCTCTGCCTTAGTGCCGCGTGCATTCATTCTAACATGTGCAAGAGTTTCACGAATTGAGGGCGGGTGGTTTTCAAACTGTGGCTCTCGCTTCAGCGCCGCGCACGTTCGTTTTGAACATTTGCTAGAGCTTCACCGATTGAGGGCGGTTCCTTTTCAACGTGTGGCTTTCGCCTTAACACCGCGCACATTCGTTTAAATACTTGCAAGAGTGTCACGGAATCCCATGATCAACGTACCAGAAATGGTGTTTTTGACGATTCAAATATGTTTATTCGCGGAGTTGAAATCCCCCCGAAGGGTTTTCTGGCATGATTCTGGATCGTCAAGACGCAGCAGTGGCGTTGAAATCCCAAGAACACTGTTTTGGCACGCCTCAGGATTTTCAAACTGTTGTCTTCCAACGAGGCAGTTCCCTCAATGGAACTGAGCCGTTATGGGGTCCAGGAAGAGGGAGCTTGGAGCGAGGGTTAATTCCAACATCGTTGATGACTCTTGGGGTTCCACTGGTCCTCCTTCTCCTCTTCCTCCTCCCCCTCCTCCTCGTCCTCGTCCTTCTCCTCCTCCTCCTCCTCCTCCTCCTCCTCCTCCTCCTCGTCATCGTCCTCTCCTCGTCCTCGTCCTCGTCCTCGTCCTCGTCCTCGTCCTCGTCCTCGTCCTCGTCCTCGTCCTCGTCCTCGTCCTCGTCCTCCTCCTCCTCCTCTGCCCACCAACTCCTCCCACCAGCTCCCCCCGCCCGTACACGCTGCTCCCGGGCATGGGCGCGTGTCCGGGCCCGTGCAGGGGGCCAGGGGCGGCGGGAGAGCCCCCCGGGGCGATCGGCACGCGGGCAGGAAGCGCCCAGGACGCGCTGCGCTCGGGCAGGGGCCGCAGGGAGCAAAGGGGCCCTGGGACACACGAACAAGTACACACACAGATCCCAGGATTCCCCACATCTTCCTACATTGTCTGGTTCTTCGTCTTCCCCCCATCTCATTTCCTCCTATTTGGAGGGAGGAGGAGGAGGAGGAGGAGGAGGAGGAGGAGGAGGAGGAGGAGGAGGAGGAGGAGGTCCGAAGAGCCGACGATGCATCGTGTCCGCGTGGCTTCTCCCCTCCGGGAAGGGGGTGGCCCCCGAGCAGCCTGGAAGCACAAGCGCCTGTGGGGGGCGAGGGGGGGCAGGGCGTGCGGGCGAGGGGGGGGGGGGGGGCAGAGCGTGCCACGGTGCGGCAGCACGGCGAGGGGAGGCCGCGGCCCCTGCTCTGGTGGACCGGCCGGCGGGACTGCCTGGTCGCCCTGCCCAGGGTCTGCGAGGCAGGGCGGGGCCGGCTCCTGCGTCGCAGGCCGCTCCGCCCCACGCTCGTCCTCCACTCCTCCTCCTCTCCCCCTCCTCCTCCCCTCTTCCTCCCCATCCTCCCTCCTGCTCCCTCCTCCTCCTCCTCCTCCTCACCTCCTCCTCCTCCTCCCCACCTCCTCCTCCTCTTCCTGCTCCTGCTCCTCCTCCTCCTCCACCCCCTCCTCCTCCTCCTCCTGCTCCTCCTCCTCCTCCTCCTCCTCCTCCTCCTCCTCCTCCTTCTCCTCCTCCCCCCTCTCCTGGACGAGCGCGTTCCACTGCTCGCAGATAAACTACGCGCAAATGACCTGGCTCCGCCGAGGAGGATGCACGATCCATTACCATCGAGGCGAGTATTGCCACAGTGGCTTGCTTTCCACATTAATGTGCCGTCTGTTGCATGCAGTTGACTTGACTCGACTACCATCGAGGCGAACGTGTCCTTGGTCTGGACGTTTGCGAGCAGGCACTCTGCGAGTAGCGGGATTTGCCCGGTGACTGCCCCAAACCTCCGCGACCTTGCGCGTGCTTTTGCACCGCGGGCCGGGCGCTCTCGTCACCATGCCAGGGCCAGAAACCACGCGATGCCACCCGGCCTGCGACCTAGCGATGCTGAAAGTTTAGGCGCTTGCCCAATGACGACCCACCTGCGACCCACCTGGGCCCCAACTCCGCGCCTGCGCCCCCCTCCTCAACACCTGCTCCGCGGCGAGGGCTTTCACACCGCCCCTCCCCACCCCCCCCTCTCCCCCTCCGCCTCCCTCCTCCTCCATCTCCTCCTCCTTCTACTCCGCCCTCCTCCTTCGGCGCCCCCCTCCTCCTCCTCCTCCTCCTCCTCCTCCTCCTCCTCCTCCTCCTCCTCCTCTACGGCCCCACCGTCGCCGCGGCCCCGCGGGGAGGGCCCCATTGACCTGAAGGCGTCGCGAGCACGGCAGCAAGAAAGACAGCGCGCGCTCTTGCCCCGCCGCCCCCGCCCTCCCCTCCGCTCTCCCCGCCCCCCCCCCCCTCGGTCGGGAGGCGGCCGCCTCCACCTCCCGCGGCATGTTCGACGCCATGGCCGCCGCGCGCGCTTCCCCCGCGCGCCGCGCGCGCGCGCCGCACCGGAGGGCGCGGCCGCCGCGCCGCGCGCGGGCGGGGCGACGGCCCCGTGGGCCCGAGTCTCACCCCTTGGCCGCCGAGACGAGGAGGAGGAGGAGGACGCTGCACCCGGACGCGAGACGAGGAGGAGAGGAGGAGGCGGAGGAGGAGGAGGAGGAGGAGAGGAGGAGGTGGAGAAGGAGGAGGAGGAGGAGGAGGAGGAGGAGGAGGAGGAGGAGGAGGAGGAGGAGGAGGGGGGGAAGAGGAGGAGGTGGAGAAGGAGGAGGGAGAGGGGAGGAGGAGGAGGAGGAGGAGGAGGAGGAGGAGGAGGAGGAGGAGGAGGGGGAGGAGGGGGAGGGGAGGGCGCGGGCCTTGGACGCGCCTGGGCCCCCGCGAGGGGGAGGCGCGCGTGGGCAGGGGGCGGGGGTCAATGGTGGGCCTGGCGGCGCCTCGCGGGGCGCAGCGCAAGGCCAGGGTCCCCGCGCGCGAGGCGGCGGGCTGCGGGGCGCGGCGGAGCCATTCTGCGCACGCCCCCATCGGCGACGAGGGGCCGATGCGGAGCCGCGACGAACGATTTGAGCCTGAGCCCCAGAGTGCCCCGTTTGTCCCCTGTGCCTCTCTCGGGGGTGCGCAAACAGGGATCGGCGATCCACGGATTTGGCGCGCGCTCGCCAAATACATGGGTCGGGAGAGGTGCCCTCCCCAAAGTGCGGCCAGCGCCGCCGCGCTCGGCGGCGGGAATCCGCGACTACCCATGGAAACGGGACCCGTCGCTAATCCACGCCCCCTCAATCCATGTTTGCGATCGCCTGATATTCCCTCCTGCGCAACCCTATTGGCCCCTGTATTGCCCCCCAACCGCCGCCTCCCCCATGGGCGGCCGTTGAAGCACGAGCTCGGCAAAGATCGTGGCAGAGGTCCGATGGGCCTCGCCTGGTGTCCCGCGCGTGGGTTCGAGCAAGTGGGTCCCGGGGGGTTCGTCGGCATCGCAGGGGGATTTCATCCGGAGGTCGCCCCGCAAGGATCTGCGAACATATCGAGGCCTTTCGCGGAGGAGAAGGAGCATGATGACGGGAGGGGCCAGCGTAAACCCAGGAATCGTCAACGATGCGGCGTTACGCCCTCCAGTCCGAGTCCCCTCCTCAAGCCATGCAGTAACAATAGCACTGTTGCCATGTAGGGTCGTAAATTTGAAGGAGTGCCAGGTAACAACCCCGTTTTGAAAGAGATCTGCCCTCCATCCGTGCAGCGACCGCCACGAAGGCTCGGGATGGCAAATGCGATAAGGCATGAAGCGGGAGAGCTCCGATCCAAAAAGAAGCAACCCTCTATACGTGCCCCCCTTTGCACACATTCAATTTATCATCGCACCTGTTGGGACAACTCAAGAGCGGGAGCCTCGATCTGATAATTAACGGCCCCCCCATCCATATTCTACCTTTTGGAAGCTGTTGAAACGACTGTGCCCGCCGCGCCTGGTGGTGCGACGAGACGGCGTCTATTAAGGAAGAGGGGCTTAGGATGAGAAAATGGAGGAAGATGGGGACGAAGAAGACCCGTGCAAACCCAAGAAGCATCAATAATGTTGCACGGAACCCTTTCTCCATGTATTATTTTTCGTTGTTTTTTTACAACTATTCAATCCCATTGCGGGATGTGCCCCATTGGAAGACAACCGTGTGAGAATCTTTAACAGTGCCAAACACCATTCGTGGAATTTCCTAGAACCGAATCAACTTGACTGTTGCGTTTTGACGACCCTGAACCGTGCCCGAGAATCGCCCCTGTGACTTCGACACCACGAATCAATGCGACTGTTGCGTCCTGACAACCCATGATCGCACCAGAAAGCCAATTTTGGGACTTCAACCATACGACTCTTCGGAGCTGCTGCAAACACTTAAATCGAATGTGCGCGGTGCTAAAGCGAAAACAACATGTTTAAAACCACTCGCCGCCCACCCTTGAAACCCTTGCAAACTTTGAAGCGAATGTTTCAAACCACTCGCCGCGAACCACATGTTGAAATCGCCCCGCCCTCCAGCCGTGAACCTCCCGCAAACTTTGAAAGCGAACGTGTGCGGCGCGAAGGCAAGAACGACAACAACAACAGCCCGCCTTCCATGTGTTAAACCCTTGCAAATCTTTATAAACGAATGTGAGCGGCGCTAAAACGATAACCACACTTTGAATACGACCCGCCCTCCATCCGTGAAGTGAAGCTATGACAGACTGAACAACAGGATGTGAAATACGCTACGGCGAGAACCACAATTTGAAGACGGTCCGCCCTCCATCCGTGAAGCTGCTTGCACATTTCAAGCTTCAGGACCGTAAATGGTGAATAAATCTCAGGCGAAACGCCTGGCCCGCCCAAGCTACATGGTGCCGGGCGTGACAAACCAGAGTTGCAGTCGGCCCGTATCATAAGGGTGCGCGGTGAGGACGCAAGGGCCTTGGAAGGCCATTGCGAAGCTTTGCGAGCGGGGCGCGGCCATCGAAAGTGGCCAAGGATGGACCGAGGAGGCAAGGATGCAAGGGTCCCCTTGGGAAGGCTGCCCTGCCTTACTATGCGGGTTGACTGTATTTACAAGGAAAAGGAATTGAAGACGACAAACAACATGAGATGTAGGAGCAACTTGCACGCCGAAGCGGAGCTGCCCCCCTCTTTCCGGAACGCTTGTCCACCCGCTGCTGCAGATGGTGCCGCACGGACGCGGGCCACGGCTCAGCCGCGGGCTCCGGCTCCGAGCTCCTCCGCGGGAGGATTCGGGGATGGAGGGTCGAGGTGCTTTGTGTCTTTTTGGCTATCGTTGGGCCTGCGGAGATCTCCAGGAGACGTCCCGGGATACTTTGTGCATGAAGGAAGGAAGAAATAACCCGCAACGTGGGCCGCACAGGGCCTGCGTGCTTCCGGTCAAGCGTGGTGAAGTTCCCCTCCTCCTCCTGCCCCTGCTGCTGCTGCTGCTCCTCTCCTCCTCCTCGTCCTTCTCCCCCTCGTCCTCCTCCTCCGGCTCTTCACTCATTGCCAACCATTTTCTCCTGATTCCTTCGAAGAAGATTAGAACAACAATACGATTAATAAGACAAATCAGCGGCATAAACATAAACTTTGGGCGCTCCGCGCGGATTTCTTGGACCTGCGCTGGAGCCCACCTCCTTTGTGCGCGGAGCGCGCCAGGGGTGGCGCCAGAGGCGCCGCCGGGGGAAGCCCAGCGCGGATCCAAGAAATCCGCGCGGAGCGCCAAAAGTTTACGTTTGTAGCGTTTTTCTTCTTCGAATTCCTCTGCCTCTCTCTCTCTCTCCCTCTCCCTCTCTGCCTCTCCCTCTTTCTCTGCAGAGACCCGACGTCGTACATCTTTCAGTGCGGGGTCCCCGGGAGTCTCGACCCACTCCCCAGGACCGGCTTTCCATCCCGAGTCGTTTCTTGACGGTCCCGAGGCCGGGCGACGGCCCCTAGGGGCCGAGATGTGCGACAAACGCCGTCCTGATTTGTTCCAATTCGTGGGATCTCTGGGTCTCTCTCTCCTCGCGGGGGGCGGGGTGGGCCCAGGCGCGAGCTCGCGACGCCAGAGGGGCCCACGGCAGGGGCACCACGCTGGCGGCGCGTCGGCCGGGCAGGACGAGGCGCTCTCGTTGCGGCGCGACGTGGAGGAGGAGGAGGAGGAGGAGGAGGAGGAGGAGGAGGAGGAGGAGGAGGAGGAGGAGGAGGAGGAGGCGGAAGAGGAGGAGGACGAGAGGGAGGACGAGGAAGGAGGAGGAGGAGGAGGGAGGAGGAGGAGGAGAGCGGGGGGCGAATTGCGTGCACGGAGAGCGAGAGAGCGGGGGGGGCGAGGGCAGGAGAGCGGGGGGGCGAGGGCGAACGGGCGAGGCCGACAGGGCAGGTACGGTGGTCGTCGGAGTCGTCGTCGCGAAACCACTCGTTCGGGCGAACCCATGTGGATCAAGAACTGAAGAAACTCGTTCGGGCGAAGAATGAAAAAAAGTATCTGGCGCCCCCAAGTTGCCGACGACTCTCGCACCTCTCGGGGTGCAGAACAACGAATATTGCTTTGCAAGCAGACAAGCCGCTCAACACCCAACAAAAAATACAACTTTCGAGCGATGCTCATCAGGCACTGAACGAACATATAATTTTGCTTGTGTACCAACGCACGAAACACCGAGATACGCAATCCTTGCGCACTAAGCAGGCACACTGCGCAAACGCACTGCGCAGGCGCTCAAGCAAACACACTCAGCGGGCGCGCTGGGCACATGCGCTGCGCAGGCGCACTGTGTATGCGCACTAATCAAGCGCACTGCGCAAGCGCACTGCGCAGACGCATCGAGCAAACGCACTGCGCAGGCGCACTGCGCAGGCGCACTGCAGAGGCGCACTGCGAATGATGGCGCTGAGCAGGCGCACTGCGCCAGCGCACTGCGCAAACACACTGCGCAGGCGCCCTAGGAAACGCACTGAGCGGGCGTCGTGCCTCTCCTCCTCTCTGCTTCTCCCTTCTCCTCCTCCTCCTCCTCCTCCTCCTCCTCCTCCTCCTCCTCCTCTTCCTCCTCCTCCCCCCTCCTCGTCCTCCTCCTCCTCCTCCTCCTCCTCCTCCTCCTCCACCTCCCACTCCCCTCCTCCCTCCTCCTGCGGGCCCGCCCCCTGCGGGCCCGCCCCCTGCGGGCCCCTGCTCCCCCTGCGGGCCCGCCCCCCTGCGGGCCCCGCGGGCCGCTGAGGCAGCGGCGGCGCCGGCATCGGCACCGGCAGAGGCAGCGGCGTCGGCGGCGGCGTCGGCATCGGCATAGGCGTCCGACCTCGTGATTTTCGCGGCCGCAGCGCTGCTCTTCCTCCTGCTTCGGCCTCCAAAAGGCCGTGTCCGGGCCCCGGGGCCATCGAAAAACCAGCTGCAACTCAAAACCGGTCCCGGGGAAGGGGTCGGGAGCCCGGGGCGCCGACGGGCTGGAAAAAGCACGGCGTCGGAGGTCTCCCTCCCTTTTTCCCCTTTGCTTTTCCCTTCCCTCCCCTTCCGCTATGGATTACACATGGTCAATACATGTCTCCTCTCACCCTCAAGTCTGGGCGTAAGACGTACTACCCCTCCTCGTAGTTCTTGTGATCACGATTCAAACTACTGGTCCTTCCTCTGTGCTTTTCCTCTCGGGGCGTGCTCGCCCGTTCCGACGGGGGCGCCTTCGCCTCGGCGCTCTCCTCACCCCCCCATCGAGATAGGTCAGGGGGGGAAGGGGGGGGGGGCGAAGAATAATACATTTCTGTGCGCTGGGGGCGCTATCCCCCCCCGGGGGAGGACAGGGGGGGAGGGGGGAAGGGGGGGAGGGGGTGGGGCGAAGAATAATACATTTTCTCTGCGCTGGGGGCGCTATCCCCCCCTCGGGGAGGACAGGGGGGGGGGGGCTCCCCGCTTCATCATTCCGGACCCTGCATTGCTCTCCTCGCTCCCTTGCCTCTCCGAGGACTCACTGACCCGGGTCCATCCCGACAATGGCCAGTGAATGTTTGCAGCATCCTGCAAGATCCTGCAGGATCCTGCGCGCAAGCCCGGGTCAGTGCAACCTTGGCTGTGCAGGATCATACAAGACCTGGCGCTCTGACTGACCCACGTCTGCATTGACCCCCGTCTCTTGAGCCCCGATCTCTGTCCAGAAGATATCCGGCCCTCTCCGCGTGCTGGTTTAACACGTCAGCGTTCAAACATTGTGTCTGTTTCTCGAGGACAATTTTCGGGGATCTTCTGACCCGGGTCAATCCACACTCGGGTCAGTCGGGCCTTGCTGGATCCTGCAACATCCTGCAAGATCCTGCACCCAAACCCGGGTCAATGCGAAAGATCCGGCAAGATCCTGCACCCAAGCCCAGGTCAATGCGACCCTGGCTCTGCAGGATCCTGCAAGATCGGGGCGCTCTGGCTGACCCCCGTTTGCACTGACCCCCGTCTCAAGGCTCCCGAAGTTTTGCAGTCTGGCTGTTTCTGGTCCTTCAGAACATCGACGCTTTGCCCTTGCCGTTCAGAATGGCACTCTCGCCCCAGGCTGAGACATGTTTTTTTCTGTTTCTGCGTCCTTCCTCGTCGTCTTCGCCCCCTCCTTTCCCCTCCTCCGCCTCCCCCTGGCCCTCCTGTCTCCACCGCCTCTTCCACTCCAGCTCCCGCCGCTTTTCGTCCTCGCCCCTCCTCTGTTCTCCTCCTCCTCCTCCGTTTCCTCCCGTCCGTGCTGCTGCTCCTCCCATCACCTCCTCCTCCTCTTCCTCCTCGCATGTACGCAGCTCCGCCTTCCCTTCCGACTGCGCACAACACGATAAGGGGCCCTTTTGGTGTTCCTGGTCCGCTGTGCCACGCGTCGGCGGAGAAAGAGAAGACACCAGCGCGGTGGGAGGGGATGGGTGGGAAGGGGTGGATGGGAAGAGATGGCTCCCACACCAACTCAGCGAGGTGGGAGGAGTGGGAAGAGATGGCCCCCATAACAACTCAGCGCAGTGGGAAGGGAATGGGGGGGAGGGGCAGGATGTCAGCTGTGGCGCGAGCGCGCCTGGCTTGCCCCACCTCGTTTCCCCCCCTGCCCCCTCCCCGCCGCGCCCAAGCAGAGGCAGAGGCAGCGACAGCACGGCCGCAAATGCTCCGTGGTCTCCTGCGGGTGTCTTCCTTGCCCTCCCCCTCCTCCTCCCCCTCCTCCTCCTCCTCCTCCTCCTCCTCCTCCTCCTCCTCCTCCTCCTCCTCCTCCTCTCCTCGTGCCCCCATCGCCGTCCACCGTCACGCAGGATCAGCACCCAGACCCCTCACCGGGGTGCGCTTCGAGGAGACATCCGAGGCGGATCCGCAGGGTGGCGACGAGGAGCCTCGCGGAGGCTCACAAAGAACGACTCATGTCACAATACAGTCGGGGCGTTGACCTAAGGAACCCGAAATAAGGAACGAGGCCCCTATTTCCCATAAGTTAAACTTCGATTTCATATCGAAAACCCAAGGACACCCGAAGGCAAGCTGCGAAACAATCAAGGAACACGGAGCCCCTCCCCAATGAAAAGGGTTCCTTCTTCAGCGCCCCGACTGTACTCTGATCCTCGATCCTCGATCCTCGGTCGGGGGGCGACTCTCTCACCCGCGGGTGGAAGTTCACCCGCCGGCGAGCTTCTTCTCTGTAAACTTTCCCTGGCGGAGCCTCCTCTGGGCACACTGCGCGGGGGGGGGTCAGCGAACCCCGAGTAGGGTGAGCTGGCCTGGGTAAAGGTGCCCGCGAGTAATGCGGGATGACGATTAATAAAAAAAATGGGGGCATCCGCGGGTAAACAGTCAAAGGGGGTCAAAGGCGCCCGCGAGTAAACATCCCCGGGGCAAACCTGCCGCGGGTAAACTCGCATACTTTCGAACTCCCTCCCGCCCACCCCCACTGCGGCTCCAGCACCGCCTCCCCCTCGTCGAGCGCGATGTTGTCGCTCAGGGGGCTTCTCTGGACGGCGGTGACCGCGTCTCCTGCCGCCCATCACGGATAGGAGGGAAGCTTAAATGTATATGTATATGTATATATATATATATACGTACGAACGTATGTGCATACACATATATATATATATATAGCTATCTATGGGTACACACTTGTGTATATGTGTTTGCGTAATGCATCGGTTAGAACCACTAGTGCTTCGCGCGCGCTGAGGTTCCGGTCAAAGACGCATGCCTTCTCCAAATCCCACCTGTACGACCACCCTCCGGGTGAGTCTTCGGGTAATAAGGATGTGCGGGGGGGTGGAGGAGCCAAAGTTTCATTCAATCGACCTCACTACCCATCGCTCTCAAATCGATCTCACAATCGATCTCCCTCGATCGATCGCACTATCAACATGATGATCGATCTCACTATCGATCTCTCTGTCGACCCACAATCGCTCTAGCTATCCATCTGTCGATCGAACTCACTATCGATCTCGCAATCGATCAGCTATCGATCTCACAATCGATCTTACTATCGATCTCGCTATCGATCTCGCTACCGATCTCAAGATCGACCTCAGTATAGATCTCACTATCGACCTCACAACCGACCTCACGATCGATCTTTATCGCTCGATCGTACGATCGTCCTCACTATCGGTCTCGCAGTTGATCCCACTATCGATCTCTTAATCGACCTGATTATCGATCGCACGCTCGATCTCACAACCGATCCCACTATCGACTCGAACATCGATCTCACTTATCGGTCTCACCATCGATCTCACTATATACCTGACTATCGATCTCACTATCGACATCATTACCGATCCCACTATCAAACTCGCTATCGATGCCACGATCGATCTCACTACCGATCTCACGGTCGATCTTAATATCGATCCCACTATCGAGCTCACTATCGATCTCACTATCGATCTCACAGTCGACCCCACCATCGATCTCACGGTCGATCTCACCATCGATCCCACTATCGAGCTCACGATCGATCTCACTGTCGATCTCATCATCGATATCATAATCGATCTCGGTATCGATGTCACTGTCGTTGCCACTATCGATCTCACTGTCGACCTCACGGGACCTCACGGGGCACCACGGGCCACCACGTGCCACCGCGGGACACCACGGGACACCATCGGGACACCGCCGCGGGACACCCGTGGCCACCGCTGGCCAACCAGGAGGGGAGGGGCAGACTTTTGGCCCAGCGGCGCACTAGCGAGAGGAGGGTTCATCCCTCTCGCCCGCCCACGCAGCTTCGCCTCGTCCGCACGTACGACACGAACACGACACCGCAACCGATTTCCTGGTGGGGGCGCTCGTTTTCTCAATGCGGCCTCACTCCCTCATCTCCGATTCCCACTTCGACTAGTGCTCTGCTCTTTTCCACATTCCTCTTGTCCCCTCTCCGTCCTTACTGCCTTCCCCCCTGTTCCCTCCTCATCCTGTTTCGCCTCATTTCCTCCTCGGTGTGTGATACTACTCCTCCCCATCTCCTCTCCCACTCTTCGCGCGCGTTTCGCACGCACTGGCATCCAAGAATGATTGTTGGACAACGCCTGCAGCGATGTGTTGCACTCGTCTCCTGACTGCACCTCTTTCACCTCATCCTCCTCCTTACTATCATCATCAGCATCATCATCATTCTCATCATCATCATCCCCATCACCATCACCATCACCATCACCATCATCATCGCGATCACCATCACCATCACCATCACCATTATCATCACAACCACCATCATCACCAACAACACCATAATCATCATCACCGCCATCATCATCGTCGTCATCATACTCCTGCTCCTCATCATCACCACTATCATCACCATCATCATCATCAGCGTCGGCATTGTCATCATCATCGTCATCATCATCAGCATCATCATTATCATCATGGTCATCATCATTAACAACATCATCATGATCACCATCATCACCATCACCATCACTACGACCATCAAACTCATCAGCATCATCATCAACACCACCATACTCATCATCAACAGCGTCATTGCCATCATCAACATCAGCAATAGCATCCCCATCACCATCACCATGACTGTCATTGCCGTTGCTATCATCATCCTCACCATCACCCTCAGCGAAAGTTGCATGTCCGCAGGGGGCGGAGTATCAACTTTGACCATGTTCCACACGACGATGGCGATGGGAATGATTGAGGTTAAGAGCAATGGCGTGCTAGCTATGAAGGCAGGTGGTACTGAATAGTTCTACGGATGAAGGTGATGTTATTGAAGAAGAAGAAGATGTTGATGATGCTGATGATGGTGGTGGTGGAGGAGGAGAAGGAGGAGGAGGAGGAGGAGGATCGCCCGCGAGGGTTCGGTCGTCCCGCAACCGCGCTCGGGCGGGCGCTGGCGGTAGCGTGGCAGGACCGGGCATTTCGGGAGGCGCCCAAACAACGCCTACATTCAGTACGTGTGGGGGGAGAGAAGAGGGGAGTGAGGAGGAGGAGGAGGAGGAGGAGGAGGAGAAGTGAGGAGGAGGAGTGCGGAGGAGGAGGAGGGGAGGAGTGCGGAGTGCGGAGTTGCGGAGTGCGGAGGAGGAGGAGTAGGAGGAGGAGGAGGAGGGGAGTGATGATGATGGATGATGATGAGGAGGAGGAGGAGGAGAGAGGAGGAGGAGGAGGACGAGGAGGAGCAGGAGAAGGAGGAGGAGGACGAAGGAGGAGGAGGAGGAGGAGAAGGAGGAGGAGGGAGGAGGAGGAGGAGGAGGAGGTGCGGAGGAGTGCGGAGTGCGGAGTGCGGAGGAGGAGTGAGGAGGAGGATGGAGGAGGAGGAGGAGGAGGAGGAGGAGGAGGAGAGGAGGAGGAGGAGGGGATGATGATGATGATGATGATGAGGAGGAGGAGGAGGAGGAGGACGAGGAGGAGGAGGAGAAGGAGGAAGAGGAGGACGAGGAGGAGGAGGAGGAGAAGGAGGAGGAGGAGGAGGAGGAGAAGACGGCAACGACACCCTCAGGCCGTGTACGGTCAAGCTCCGGAGGCCGAGGAGCGGGCTCAGGCTCAGTCCGTGGCCGAGGGGCCCAACTTCTCGCCGTCCGCGATGCCGGCGTCTCCCTCCTTGATGCTGACGACCTCTCGGCTACACGCAAGAGTGACCCAAGGCAGGATTGGCGGCGCGCAGGGGGGGGGGGTAGGGGGGAGGGGGTAAGGCGTCTTAGAAGGAGGCTGCTTCTTAGAAGGCGCCGTCCTTACATCTATAGGGCAGGCCCGCGCCTTCTAAGAAGCAGGGGTGTTTCTGAGAAGCCTGCCCCCCTCGCCATACCCCCCTCCGCGCGTGGCTGACAAGAGTGACCTTTACTGCGCGGACTGAGTGGGCGCAAGGTGGGCAAATCCAAGCGCGCAAGCCGCCATTATCGCAGCGCGCTCAGCGATCGGGGGAACCCTGGTGAGCCCGCATCGGAGGTCACTCTGGCGAAGGGTCACGCTTACGTGCAGTCGAACCTCGATCTCCAACATGATGTCCGAATCCGCAGGGATGCCCCACGCCGGGAAGCCAGTCCTGCCGAAGGCCTCGCCAGAGGGGATGTGCAGCAGTCGGACCTCGCCCTTGAGCATGCCGCGGGCGCCGTACTCCCAGCCGGTGATGAGGCTGCCCTCCCTGTTACGGCCGACTGTGTACGTGAGGGCATCCGGCCCGTCGTCCAGCGTGGACCAGAACCTCTTCCCGCTCCTCAGCTTGCCCAGCGCGTGCACGGAGACGCTGTCTCTAGAGGAAGAAAAAACAACGCAAACACAAACTGTTGGCGCTCCGCGCGGATTTCCTGGATCTGCGCTGGACCCCCTCCCCGGCGCGCAGAGCGCACAGAGCGCGCCAGGGGCGGTGCCAGAGGCGCCGCTGGTGGGGCCCAGCGCCGATCCAAGAAACCCGCGCGCGGCGCCAAGAATTATATCTGTGCCGTCTTCTCTTCTCCGCGTCTCCCTCTTCCACGGCGGCGGCGCCGGGCGAGCCCGCCCTCAGTATCTTGTAGGTCGTCTCCAGTTCGCCCGGGCCACCGGAGACGTACAGGAAGCCGTCGTCGCCTGGGAGTGGCTGACCCTCGTCGTCGTTGTCAGCTATGTCGTCGTCGCCGTCGACCATGTCGTCGTCGTCGTCGTCGTCGTCGTCGTCGTCGTCGTCGTCGTCGTCGTCTTCGGCGTCGGCGTCGGCGTCGGCGTCGGCGTCGGCGTCGGCGTCGGCGTCGGCGTCGGCGTCGGCGTCGTCGTCGTCGTCGCTGCCTGGCCACGCCGCCGCCCCGAGGACGAGCGCGGCGAGCACCAGCGGCATTCCGACGGGGCCCATGCGTGCGAAGGTTCGGTGAGGGCTTGCAGACCGCGACGGCGCGCGGAGCGGGGCGGTGCGAGAGGTCCTCGTCGCACAACGTCCGGGGTCGCGCTGGTGCTCAGCCTTGGGCACACTTGAGCCGAAACGGCTACGGATGATGATGATGATGCTGATGATGATGATGCTGCTGCTGGTGCTGCTGATGATGATGCTGATGACGATGATGGTGGTGGCGGTGATGATGGTGCTGATGATGATCATAATGATGAGGATGAGCATGTAGGTGTTGATAAAAAAGAGCACGGATGATGATGGTGGTGGTGACGATGTTGATGATGATGATGATGATGATGATGGTGATGCTGAGGATGATGATGCGGATGATGACAGTGAGGATGCTGAGGATGAGGGTGATATAGAGGATGAGTATTCGAATAATGATGCTGCTGCTGATGATGATGACAACAATCCTGATGATGCTGATTATGATGAGGAGGATGAGGGTGATGATGCGGATGATGACGACGATGATAAATCTGACGCTATTCCTGGTGATGATGATGAGGATGAGGAGGGGGAGGAGGAGGAGGAGAAGACGAAAACATAGGATGGTGATGCTGATGCTGATGCTGATGATGGTGATGATGGCACGGGTACAGCCAAGCTGCTGCACTAATGAACGATGAATTAGAAACGGAACCCCTTTTTGGTACCAAAAGAGCTTGGGTGCACGAGGAGGGCTGGAGGAATGAACACGGCATGACCCAACGAACGGCGAGCCCCTTCCGAACCCCAAAAGGCCCTTCTTTCAGCCTTTTGATGGTCGGGGCTGCCGCCATTCCTCTGGTCGACGTCTGCGGCGTTCGGCAAGGCGAGGGCGGGAAGCGCAGAGGTGTTTTGGGCCCTCCGGGGCCCGACAGCCGGCCGAGATGCGCACAGTCCTCCCGAGACGCAGACCACAGCGTGTGCCATACGATGGACGTCTTGAAGTGGCCCCAGGACACACAAATAAATACACGCATAAGACTATTCCCCATAGTTTTCCATATTTTCTGGGGTTTTGTCTTCCCCCCCCCACTTCCCATATTTTCCCATATTTTCCTGGGAATCGACGATTAATTGTGTCTGTGTGTTTCTTCCCCTCCTGACATCTGCCGACATCCCACCAGCCCACTGGGCATGTGCGCTCAGGCGGGTCACCTCGGCCAACCAAAAACTTCTCCTTCATTCGGGGGATTTCCTTCACCCCTTCCCCCTCCCATGGGTCTGGGCGGAGGGTTTCGCGAGCGGTCAGAGTCCAAAATGGCCCCAGGTGGCGCCAAGATGGTTCCACATAGCACTCGATGACCTCGAAGATGACACGGGGTGGTCGAAGTGGACCCCACTAGCCTCCAAAATGCGTTTCGTGCCTGCTCAGGGTGTAGCAGATAGTAGTCCTCCTCCTCCTCCTGCCTCCTTCTCCTCCTCCCTCCTCCTCCTCCTCCTCCTCCTCCTCCTCCTCCTCGTCCTCTCCTCCTACTCCTCCTCCTTCTCCTCCTCCTCCTCCTCCTTCCCATCTTCCGCCTCCTCCTGCCTCCTCCCGAGTCATGGGTCCAGACATGTATTCTGCCGCTCGCTCAACGTGCGTTTTGGTTGACCGAGGTGGACGCCCACCAGGGCGTGGCGCGGCGCTGCTGTCTGCTGCGATGGTCTCGCGAATCCCGCGTCTAGCGGAGGCAAGAAGCCAGTCGATGAGGATCGGGAGGGAGAGAGAGGGGGGGGGAACGACCCACAGACGCCAAACACCCCCGTCATCTGCGTGCGGTTGGAAAAAGATATCCCGACTTCGCGGCCCGGCGGCGTCCTACGCGCCGGCGCCAGACAGGGCTCGCGTACTTCGCGAGCGCACTGGACTGCCGCAAGGCCTGAGTGCACCGCCACTGTCTCGTCGATTCCGTGTTGTCGTCGTCCTCATCCTCAGGTTTGCTTTTCCTTGCTCACCTTATCCCTTTTCGTCCCTCCTCCTCTTCCCCGCCATCTTCCTCCACCTCCACCTTCTTCCATTTCTTCTGGCACTGCTTGAAGCCACCAAAGACTGTCTGTGGCTAACTATATCCAAGTCGTTTGTGAAACTGACACTGTCACTGCGGACCAGGCCTCGCAGACTGCACAAGAAGGTAATGTACAAATTTTGAACCTTGTTCAAAGCTACCCCTGTCGTCGTGACATACGATGAAGGTCGCAAGCAAGTATGCCCCCGCATGGCGCATGCTACAAACATCCACCACTGTAAAGAAAATACGCTGAAAGAAGCAAAGACCAGTTTGGGTTCGGAAAGAGCTCGCTCCATGGTTGTTCTTCTAGCGCTCCTGGTGTCCCTGGCCGATTTCGGAGCCCAAGGTGGCTTGATTGCACCGTCGCTCGGCAATCCAAACCGCTGCGGAACAGAATCCTGCGATACTGGGCAATTTTGGATCAGCTGCGGCCCTCCTTCATAGTATGGTTCACTGAACAATCAGCAACTCTATGTTTCTCGGGCCTGCGTCAACTCACTGGGTCCCACCGTGGGCGACAACATCTGCAGCTTGTCTCGCGTAGCCTGTCTCGATGATGCCCGCAGGATCCCTACAAGTTCTGATGGACACGGGTTTCAACCGCTTGTCAATCAACGGCCACGCATCGATGGCGACTTCCTGGGCGGGCTGACAGTCGACCACCAAAAGAAAAGGAACAAACCCCTGCCCCGCTCGTGGTGGCCAACATCACTCCCATCAGCGGAATGGCAACGCGGGCATGATTGCAGGCCGTGGTCATGCTTCTGTTTCGCTGTAGGATGCACGTCGGTAGCGATACATATTTTCACGAGAAGGGTGGACAGTGATCACGCGCAGCAGTTGCAGCCTGTGTTGGCGAAGTGATGCGATTGTGTGTATTCCACTCTGGAAGTGATGCGCATGCGTATCGTAACTCGCGCCACTTCGGGCCGACTTCTGTCGCGAAAGCAAACTCCCACCAAGCTGGGCGGCCCACCATACCTGGCGTGAGCCCGATATGCCTGCGTGTAGATTCAAGTATTTGGCGAACGCCTTCTACCACTATGATTCCCGAGGCTTTTCAAGTAGAGGGAATGCGCAAGAGACCCGCGGTGGAGAAACCACTTCTCCCGCCAAGCTTGGACGAACACTTCATGGAGGACCCGGGTCCAGATTTCTCGCCCAAACTGCAATGTGTGGCAACAACGATACGCTGGTGGCACGACACGGCGGACTCGGCCAGGCTTGCGGCGCAGAGGCAAGAGCTTCCGTGGCCACCAAACTTGCCGACGTCCAGTCTCCGCGAGGGCCGTTTCATCGAGCGCCAAGCGCCCGCGCCGAACAGCGTCGATGTCGCAGGGGCCCTCGCACCAAGACGCCCGCGTCGTGGGAGAAGTGGCCCTGCCTTCGAAAGCACCAGAATTGGACCAATCGCAACATTCAGCTTGTTGCTGACGGGTTTGGGCACCTCCTTGGGACGAGCCAATAACGCGCACGAGGTTGCCCCATACTTCCATACTTCTTCACTCCTCGCGGCAAGTGGGTTTCGAAATGCCAAGGGAATCGATAAGGATGCCTGCCACAGACGCCGCTGCCAAAGTACAGGCTCGTACACGCTCCAGCGAATTACTTTCCACGTGAACTTACGGTAATTCCATGCGGAATCGGCGCGCGCAAAGATTTTTGACACCGCGTCGATCGCTCAACCTTGAATCGATTGCGGCCCCGATCGTTCAAGGTTGAATTCCGTCGGGTCCAGTGGCGTCACCGTGTCCCTCGGTGCTTCCGCGTCGCAGGATTCCACCTTGAACGCCTCCGCCGGCGTCGCTGGCGCGCCATCGCCGCACGAACTTCTCGTATGCTGAAATATATCGCTGCTGATAGCTCCATGAGCAATCGAATGGAAGACGTGAGCGGGACCCGAAGGCGCACTGATGACGCACCCGAGCTCACCGAACATTTCGGGAACTGGGAGGGGAACGGCGGGGCCAGCTGTGCCCAAATAACTGTACTTCCGCGCCTTCCGGCGCTTGGCGCACCTCCACTGTGGATCAATAATTGAACTCGAACACTCGGGCGGGTGTTCATGGGGTGTGCCCCATATTTGGCGGTGAAGAAGAAGGCCCTAAACGGGGCCCTTTAGGGCCCCTTTTGGAGCCAGCAAGGTGCCCGAGAGGGGCCCCGAAAGTGTCCCTTTAGGGCCCTTTTCTTCACCCCCCATTTGGGTCATCCCCCATTGCCACCTGCCCGACAAACTCGAACATGCTATCGCTGCTCCAGCTCCGGCTCCTGGTCCTCATCGCACCACTCCTGTCCAAGATGGCAGAGATCTTCCAAGACAGCCTCTGCGGAGGGGGTTCTCCAAACGTGTTGGGACCCCCGAGAGAGCTCCCAGACTCTCGGGCCCGCTCCAAACAACATCGCGACCCCAGGCCTTCCCTAAAGCCCCACAAAGCCGCAACCGCGCGCAGATTTTCCAAGACAGCCTCTGCGGAGGGGGTTCTCCAAACGTGTTGGGACCCCCGAGAGAGCTCCCAGACTCTCGGGCCCGCTCCAAACAGCATCGCAACCCCAGGCCTTCCCTAAAGCCCCACAAAGCCGCAACCGCGCGCACGGGACAGCGGAGAACGGGCAACGCCTCACGTGCATGCGCTGCCAGATTTCAGGCGGAAGGGGGAGAGGCGCACAACAACAATAATACTCACTACATCGTTATCGACTATGCCCTGCCCTCCCCTTTCAAGGTATTAGACATGATGTTCGTGCACTCTTGTGCAACAGCATCGCGCGCAACACATCATTGGCATGGGGTATAGCTAGCGGGCCCCGACCATTACCATGTCATAGATGGGGCATGTCTGCGCTTGTCCAGGCCCGATACCCTTCGCCTGAATCCTGTGCCCCAGCCGGGGTGGCAGAGGGGGGAGGGGGCAGGAGGAAGGAGCCGTAGCCTCGACAAGGAGTTTCAATCTGGCTTCCAAGGACCCGTTGAATTCATCTGGCGTTTCAGCGCCAGCCTGCCTGCCCCATGTTGGAAAGCAAAGACCTGGGATTGACAACGATGCCCGAAAACCAGAGAGTTCGCGAAAAGGACAGTGGACAAGCTGTCCCGCATTGCAACGACAATTGAGAGAAACGCTCCTGGTCCATTGCGCCAAATGATTTGAGCAACAAGACATGTGGTTTCCTGCATTTGCCAAATGCAGCGCCTGTCTGGACAACCACGCGACCGCGACGGTCGTTCTGCAGGTCTTCCGCTTGAAGTCCAAGCCGTGTACAATGCTTGGCTGGATATTGGACCGCAGCGGTCGTTGCAGGCTGTGGGCGTAGTAATTCTGGGGGACAGTCCAGGGTGGACACCCAGCGGCTGGTAAGAACTGGCCAACGTAATTTTCGGGATACTGTTGAAACTGATGGCTGCCAATTCGGGGGATTGTCGATAGAACGGCCAGCATGCCCGTCCTGAAATTGGCGCCACATGTGGACCACGAGGGGAACATGAGAGAGGGGAAATGGCCTCCCTCTCGTCCAGCCCCTCCTGCTTCTCCGCCCACCCTTCCGCCACCACCTCCTCCTCCTCCTCGCCTTTCCTTCCTTCGCCACCAGCTCGTCCTCCGCCTCATCCACGTCTGGCTCTTCCTCTCCCTGTTCTCTCCGCGCCACGCACCTGCTTCGATTCCTTGGGCAATCACTCAATGATAGCCTCTCTAGCTTCCTATTCGCTGCTCCGTCGTCCTTGTCGGCATCATACCTTCCTTCCGTCGGCCCTTACTTCCTTCATTGCGGTATGCTGCCCTCCCGTTCTTCCATCATGTCAGTCATCACCCCCCTCTACTCAAATCCTTCCCTCGATCCCTCGCTCCCTACTTGCACCCCTCGCTATGTCAACATACCCTGCCCTCCTTGCTTCCCATCCGTTTTGTGCACCTGGCTTGTATGAGTGGTCCCTGGCGATCTGCGATCGGCCATGTCAGCCTAGTGCAACGCGCCTGTCTGGGTCAGCTGCGAGGCCCCGTAGGGCAGTCATCGTGCAGGAGCTGGCCATGCCCCAACCCCCCATACTGTCCACGACCGGCATAGCAAAATCGTGCATCTCCTCCCCATGTCGGTCCGTGCCCTCAGCTCCTTCACTCATCCTCCCTCTCGCCTTCAACTCACCCATGTCATCTGATATCCCCTTGCCGTCGCACGTCCTCTCCGTCTTCAACATCTTCTTCCTCACGCCTCAATTCCATTATCCTTACCTCTTCCCTCCGCCCACCCGTCACTCGCTCACCCTGCATCTTATAATCGCTACCTTGCCCCTTCCTCGCGCCCATATGTCCCTTCCGTCCCTCCTTCGCTCGTCACGTCCTCCTCTCCACCTCTTGTCCCTCTCTCAACTCCACTTCCTTCCGATGCCGCTGATGGGGGGTAGGGGGGTGGGGGGACGGAAAACATGATATGATCAGTTTCTTTGGGGGGGAAGGGGGGCAAAGGGTGAAATCTGAAATGCCGTTTCGATGGGTTGTCGAAGCTTGATCTTCAAAAGGCGAGCAACATAACGGATTGATTTTCGAGGTGCAAGCGCCCAAATGGATTTCACCCTGAGCCCTCCTCCCTAAGAAACTGCGCAGATAAAACTAAGAATAAAGAGGAGGAGGAGGAGGAGGAGGAGGAGGAGGAGGAGGAGCGCCAACCGACAGAAGAGAAAAGAACAAGCGGGCAAGACGCGTGGCGAGAGGAGAAGAGGCCCGTCCAGGGGCAAACAACAAGAAATTCCGCGGCCCCTCTGGGAGGCTGTCCTTACCCAGGCACCCGATCAATGAGCACGTCAGCCTGGCCACCAAGCTGAGGCTGAACAACGGCTGGCACTGGGCACAAAATATGGATCGCCCTTTGTACTTGGGGGG